AAACTGTCATCGAGATTATAAAGAAATGGAAATAGTATAGTAGACAAAGACAAGGATAACACTAATGTAACGGCAATTCAGAGATTAAACATTTCTGGAGACAAATAGTTAAGACATTCAAATCACGGCTTAAGAGAACATCCCAGACTTGTCTTCCAAAGATGCTAGCGACCGTCTGGGTCTTGACCACCACTCAATATTATATTATGTCAATAATTCTTTTGGCCATTTATCTATATATTAATACGTGAAGCAAAAACTTTGTCTCCGTTTTTACGAAAATTGCGCGGACGGAGGAGTATGAAATTTTCCACACTTATAAAGAATATAGAGAAGAAGTGCACAATGCTAATATTTTTTTAAAATACTGCATAAAAGATACATTAAATCAATAAAGAAAACATTACACACACTACATACCATGTATTTGACGCACACACGCATGCATACTATTTATAGTCAAACTTTTGTTCTTGATGTCTGTGGTCAAATTGAAAATAGATTAAATATTGTTTGTCTTTATTAATATTTTTTTATAGTGTAGCCTTGGCGAAATTTGTGATTATAGAAGTATAAAATACAATCATAATAATGTACAAACTTACAATACCAATTGATTATAGTCGAATTTCGACTACTACGGGACCTCTAGTTTATATTAATGTTCGTCTAATGATCGGAATTCGACCATATTCGTAACGGAAAATGTATTTCTATTAAGACATTTTTGAACAGAAAGCGGTTTCACATTAGAGCAGAGGATTTCTATATAGATAACATATTTGATATATTTTTACCATCTCGACCGTTACAATAATTTGAATACGCAACCCTGTTATTCACTGTATATCTTGAATGGGCATTTAATTGATTTGATCCGTGGCAGACTGGTTATAGACACATACTCCATTAACGGACTCGTTTTCCAAGTAGTACTTAACACCCCCATTCAGAATGTAGTTTTCACATTTATTTTACGTAAATATTAAGAAATTTTGCCTTTTAAATGGTACAGTTGCGATGATGTTCTAAAAATTACTCAATTGGTTTATGATTAAAATTTCTATCTATTTACCTATTATCTAAAGTAGATGAAGCTGAAAACTATAATACACTAGCGACCCGCCCTCGCTTCGCTTCGGAGACTGTAATTTATTATTGATTTCTCCACTATTTAATGGACGTTATTATACATATAAACCTTCCTCTTCAATCACTCTATCTATTAAAAAACCGCATCAAAATCCGTTGCGTAGTTTTAAATATTTAAGCATACATAGGGATAGATATAGGGACAGAGAAAGCGACTTTGTTTTACACTATGTAGTGATTACTAAAACAACTTTTGATAAAGAGTTCTAATAGTATACGACTTTATTTTTTAATATCAAAATGATAACTTCACAAGCTTATGCTATAAGAAAATATACCTACCTATCAGAAGACTATTTTTTTCTTCTAGGCTCGGTTTTTTAGTAGCCCGAAGGTGATATCCGCACTACCCTGATTATCGATAAAATATGGAATTTAAGGACCCACTCAAGAATTTATTTCACAGAAAACTCCTACAAGTTTCTTGAGAGTTCGCGTGTAGCTTTTAGGAGTTATACAAATGGTAGCTTTATCGCTGTTTCTGATGCCGGTTCAAAACTAGGTTGTTGCTTATTTGGGCCACCGTAATAATATTTTAGATTTTATTTGCTAGAGCTTTGTGGATTTAAGGGTGAATTACGAGGGTGAAAAAATGTATTACGATATAATAATATGTAATTTAAGAGGTCAAATATTTGTAACGTTTTTTTTATATATTTTTTATTGCTTCGACGTGGACGAGCTCACAGCCCACCTGGTGTTAAGTGGTTACTGGAGCCCATAGACATCTACGACGTAAATGCCGTCATCCACCTTGAGATGAGTTCTAAGGTCTCAGTATAGTTACGACGGTTGTCCCACCCTTCAAATTGACACGCAACTTCAGGGCAGAAATAGGTTGGTACCTAACTGTGGACTCACAAGAGGTCTTACCACCATTACAGTGCGTGTTATATGGTGGTAGTGTCGAGTGGAGGATCGTCATGCGAGCTAAAGATTATGTTTGATAATAGTCTTTCCGACCATTAATGACATCTTGTATGACAATATTAATCATAGTATATGGTTATGTAAGGTTGTGGCGATCTATGGACTAATGTTGCTCCGTTCGTAGAAGTATTATCCTCTTACTTCCTACCTTCATAAGGTAGATGATCTTTAGTACATTTGCAAATTCCAAAATCTAAAATTACCGGGCAGTTCTATAGATATAGCGAGATGGCGCTTCTGCTTACGGGGCGATACACGTAGTACTTCGAAGTTGAATCGGGAATATTGGCAGACAGGGGGGGAGGTGACGTGTTTCGTGAGGAGAGAAAATCAGTAGGCTGCGTCTATGGGTTAATGTAGTCGTCGAGCCCTTCGTCGCAAGCACTAGGGCTTCAAGGCTTCAAGCACTAGCCCTAGCAAGAGCAGTGCTTCGCAGAAACTACCACCGGATCGGAAACGCGATGCACTGAGAAGATCATAAGGCTTTGAATTTGTTTTAAAGCATTCATACACAAAAGTCATCAGAGAGAAATATTAAAGTTAAGATTAATAATAATAAAATTGATACTTTAAAATAATAGTAAATATAAGGTACCAAGGTGATTTATGTATCATTAGCTTATATTTGCAAAATGATTTACATTAAATTACGCCCATAAGCTATTACTTGCAAATGCAGACCTTGCTTTTTGCTCACCGAAGCATAAATACTTATTTGTTTAAATTCTTATTCATGACAAATAATATGAACGCATTCAGTGAGACATGCAATTCCAAACATAAAATGTCTGTTCAAACAACAAAAAAGTCTTTTGTCATTTTCTTACTGTTACTATGTTTTATTGTATTTCTTCATCCATAGTTAAAAACGTTTATTTGTAAAAATAATGAAATATTATGTGTATTTTTTTTTATTTTTTTTTATTGCTTAGATGGGTGGACGAGCTCACAACCCACCTGGTGTTAAGTGGTTACTGGAGCCCATAGACATCTACAACGTAAATGCGCCACCCACCTTGAGATATAAGTTCTAAGGTCTCAGTATAGTTAGAACGGCTACCCCACCCTTCGAACCGAAACGCATTACTGCTTCACGGCGGAAATAGGCGGGGTGGTGGTACCTACCCGTGCGGACTCCCAAGAGGTCCTACCACCAGTGATTACGCAAATTATAATTTTGCGGGTTTCATTTCTATTACACGATGTTATTCCTTCACCGTGGAAGTCAATCGTGAACATTTGTTGAGTACTAATTTCATTAGAAAAATTGGTACCCGCCTGCGGGATTCGAACACCGGTAAAAGTATGTGTATGAAAGTATGTGTATGGTGTATGAAAGAATAAGTCATCCATGCATCAACTTTTCAATTTGAACATATTTACTGTGGATAATCACACAGCAAAAGTATTTATTGACTTTGGGTTTTAATGTTTCATACCCACAAAAATCATAAAGTATTAAAAAAATATAAAATCTAAAAGTAGCCTTACTTAATTACATTTAAACACATACTTTAATATCTATATTTTCATTTTAAGAAATTAAACATATTATTTAAGACATAAGTGAAAAGAGACTTTATTGAGTAGATTTACGAAAATAGATGTAATGAATGTACGTAAATGTTATGGAGTACTTTAATTAACCGACAGCAAAGTTTACAAGCTATATTCAGTGTGATGTGACTCATAATCTTCATTTCATAAACTATGTGATATATGTTATTGCTTTTGTTATTATTTGCTTTCTTTATAGGATACCGAGAGAGAATTTTGTTTTAGAAACATCTATGTAATTATGAATTAATCATACAAAACCTTTTCCAGCATAAAAATCCTATATCAGTCTTTGGTTAATCTTCTATCACATTTTCATAATTATAAAATGTATAATTTCATTTTGACTAATTTCAATTTTGTGGTTTGGGACTTAATTGGAATATTACCAGTTGTAGCCATTTGTGAAGATTGTGAATTTTTATTGTGTATCTAGTTTAATTGAGGGCCTTAAAAAATCAAAAACTTTTACCAAAATAAGCCCAATACCTACTTTTTTTTGTGAAAAAACATTTAATAACCAAGCTTTCTTGTTTCTTTATAATTCGTATAATATTAATTATATTTGATACAATTCATATGTTTTCATCATCAGGAATAGCAATAGAGGAATTCTATCAGTCAATCAAGGTCATCAGGAATAGCAATAGAGAAACAATAATTGGTATGTGAATTTCTTAAATAAAGCATATATATTTTGATTATTTACATAAATGCCAAATTTACATGGTGTAATTATGCAGAACTATATAAAACACAAGTACCTGTTATTTGGCTATTTTATATACCTCTATTGTACTGTATATTACATCTATAAGTAATAAAGGAACATATTTATTAATAAAAGCTATGTATGTTGCAATTTCTTGAAGCCGAATATTAATAATACTTATGTCATAGTAATTGTAATATTTTACTACCTGCCACATAAGTGATGTAAAGTTATGCATAGCTTTTGTTGTATTTTTACATAATGGCCTACTAACACAAATGATACAGTTGACATAAAAATTTAAAATAATAGCTCACAATTACTTTTGTTCACAAGTTGCCGTTTGACTTATAATTTTTCTATACACTTCAATTAAAGACAGAAATTTGAATTTGAAACCTTCAAAAGGTTTCTTGTCTAAAATTAATATAAGTATAAACTTAATTATTTTTTTTACATTAAGTAGAGAGTGGAAACAATGTTTCAGAAAAGTATTTGAGAGCAATTTATGGCCTTCTACTTTTATTCAAAAAAGCCGTTATTGATTGCTAATATTAAACTTAAATGGAAACGGCAATCAGTCAAGGCAAACCAGATGTATTTTATATTAATTGTGGGTTTTATTCCAAAAAAAGTTTATTGCACTCACCAACTGCCACTTGGATTTTCGCGTGGGATCAGCTATAGTGATCAGAAGCCTGTGGATCATCTGTATAGTTCCCTCATAATAAACCAGCGCCGATTCATAATTTCCCATCAGGGCCATTTCTCTCGCCAACTTCGTGTTCTCGCAAATTTCGCCAACAGAAACTGCCATTATTGTCATTCCCGCTGCGTGCATAAAACTTATCCACGGTTGAAAATGTTATGGTTCTTCTTTAAGACCCCTTCGAAGATTACGATCGCGTGTGACATCCAAGGATCCAAATGTAGCACTTCAAATGATCACACAAACATGTTGCATTTCTTTTGTCCCGGCGGTTTTAAATACGGGGAACTTATCCGATGTACGTACTTATTAATTTATGTCTTAATTGAATTTAAACAATTTAAATATTTTTAAGTTATTTTTTTAGACAAAACAAACTTCTAAATTTCATCCGTCAGTTCACAGTCATATCCATAGATTTTATATTATACCTACCTGTCCTGTCCTGTCACATTACAGAGTCACAGAGTCATAAAATCATTTTTTTTAAGAGATTTTATGACCTGGTAACTTAGACCTTTAAGTCATGTCTTATTTAATTTATATTTATTATATTATTCATATTTTTATGAAAAATGATATTATGGAGTGAAATTAAATGAAGATGATTAATTTGAGACACTAATCAACTGGGATGAAATTAAATGAAATGAATTGAAATGATATGAGATGAAATATAATCCCAGTAAAATGGTGGTCATTTACTAAGATTTTTTCAGTGGACTTCTTGGAGGATCCCGAGAAGTTACGTCCAGCGGCTTTGTTTCATTTTCCCACATTTGTGCACTTTCACAGATATTAAACAGTTAATAAACCACCATTATTACACATTTAAACCCGAAGAAACACTAAATAGACAAAATAAAAGAAATCACACAACTTCACTCCTCGCGTTCCCGCCAAAAAAGTCCAGTCATAAAATCAGAGCTACTTCCAGCATAGACTATATACTAACGCCATTGACTAACGCACCTTTGGTCAACTGTCATGTCTATAGGAAGCATAGAGTTAGTATTTCTCACTGAAGTATGAAACCTATGGTATTTCTTATTAACTCCATGATAGGAAGTTCTCAAATATATTATATGTTTATTCTATGATCGGAAGTGATATCTATGTACCTACCGATATATGTATTTTCATAACTATATTAAAATTGCTCCTAACTTTGAATAAATTGGTATTTAAACTTAAAACTGTATTGTATAAAAACCGATATGTAAATAGAGCATACTTGTGGCCAATAAACGTAGTGTTTCAATATTGTTCAAATATACCATAACGAGTCAAATGACTCATTTTGAACAGGCAGATTTGACTTCATAACTTTTTCTTACCTTTTTTTGTTTTGTTTGGTTAATTTTGAGTAATACTTGTCGTATACCGTTATTTACCCGCTATGGTAGAAATAGGCACCGGTAAATGTTGGTATAATTAGTGCGAAAGACCGTTTTTTTTCTCCTTCGGGGTCCCCGCGCGCTCCCTAGGCGGGACTTGTATGTGGGACTTGACGATCTGCAGGTGTTGGGAGCAGACCGCAGGCCCAAGGAGTTTTAAGGCCCTACCGCACTAAGCGACTCTCCTGCCTCTTACACCCGACGTCCGATCTCCGTCCAGGGCCAGAACCCGGTCAGAGTAGAGGGGTTCCCGCGGTCAACACTACAACCAGACACGTGGCGCCACCCCGAGGACGCCCGGGCGATGCCGCTGGTGTTTCGGGATACCCTGCTGGGCCAGAACCAGCCTGCCGGGACGGAACGAGATACACTGCTGACCGGGTAATGTTAAAGACCGTAACTTAAGCTGGTGAACATTGTAAATAAAAGTTGATAGGGGTATTTCTTTAAGTATTTGTAATTATGCAAAGCTTTGTTCTACAACCACTGTTTAATCCAAACACAAAATTCCGATTAAATTGAATAGATGCTGGTACCTACCCATGCCAGCTCACATAGACCCCTTACCACCAGTATTCATAAAATTCTGCCGAATGTCAGATCGATATTTCTCTTTACGCTATTAAACTAGCATTTTAATTCAATATTACAGTGACTTTTGCACATGAAAACATGACTTATCGTTTATTTCTTCTTTGACTCAACTTCCCGCTCAACCCAAAGCAACACTTATTCATTTGGTTGTAGCCATAGATAGAATATTGGTTGTGGCATATGTTACTAGCGGATGTGGCTTGTTAACTGCATTTTAGTGGAATAATATTTTAAATTAAGTGTGAGATGTGACACATCTACAAACCATCAAAATATGTAGTTACAAATTTAAAAGTAGGTATAAAATTTTGAATAGCCCTTCTAGCCGTGCGTGAGCGTGTGCCCGTTGAGACTAGTTCAACTTATGCACCATTAACATCTAATTCTAGGATTCATGCACTGTGGCAATTTGTACAAAAGACCGGGGAATATAACCTGCCGCTGCAGCTTATTGTGGACTACGAGACAGCCTTTGACTCGTATGAGTTTGTATGAAAACGCCACTATGTCGGTCCGATTATACGACCTGGCTCCTGGACCCATCCTTTTGCAGCGTGGCGTGAGGCAGGAAGATGTTATTTCTCCGAACCGTTTACCGCTACATTAAAGGATATTTTCAAGGTTCTTGACAGGAAAGGACTAGGCACAACATCAACGGCGTATACTTAACTCACCTTCACTTTGCCGACCACATTGTGGGTACGGCTGAGGCTTTTGAAGAATTCACAGCAATGCTCAATGACCTTAGTAAGCTTAGCGCCCACCCCAGTAAAGATCGGAAGCTCTAGGCTCAAAGTTGTTGACGAGCATATTTCTTGGGGCAAATTGTTAGATCCAACTAGGTAGCAGCTAGGTAGATCCAACTTCGAAAAAAAGAGGTAAATCGTTGAATCCAACTTGGGAGGCGTAGCGAGCAGCGGAAAGCTATTTAATATCTTCTTATCACAGTGTCTCAAGTTTTTTTTTTCGCAGGTGGTAGGAACTCTTGGGAGTCCGCACGGGTAGGTACCCACCACCCACCGCCCCGCCTATTTCCGCCGTGAACCAGTAATGCGTTTCGGTTCGAAGGGTGGGGTAGCCGTTGTAACTATACTGAGACCTTAGAACTTATATCTCGAGGTGAGTGGCGCATTTACGTTGTAGATGTCTATGGACTCCAGTAACCACATAACACCAGGTGGGCTGTGAGCTCGTCCACCCTTCTAAGCAATAAAAAAAAAGGTAAAATGCGGAATGAAAAAGCAAGCAAATAAATCTTTGCCTGCTTTTCGTTCCAATAGAGGAAAAACAAATTAATTTCCAACAATGAAACATTTAATTACACCCAGTATAGCTAGTTATACACAGTATGAAACATAAATACTTTTCCTGCGTTTATACAATAAATGTGTTTTATTTACAATAACATTGTTTGTTAGATCATATTTAAATATATTATGAACGCATTTAATATCTATACATGCTTCAAAGAAAATATTCTTAAAACTTAAATTTAAATGTCTACTTAAACATAGTGAAAAACATATATCTAAATAAATGTAGTAAATAAAAAAAACTTCGTATTGCTATTTTATGTAGTAAATTTACAAATTAACTGAAAAAGAAGGTTGTATATGCTTTGCTTGAAAGTTGTTTATGAATATGCTGGTACGCATAAAACTCACAACTAAACCACGTCACAGGCCCGCGATTCGTATGAGAGCACTGGATGTAGTACCTATAAGGTCACTAAAATATTTTGGCATCTGTGTTCTAACTACAATCAATGCTTTTAAAATCAAGCTGCTTTAAGGAATATGGAGGGCAGAGGCGGTCCTATCTTCTATGCTATGGAACTAAATCGGAAAACAGCAATCCCACAGATAATAATAATTTTCCATAGATAATAAAAGATAATTTCTACCAAAACTGGTACAGATATTTACCATAATAATTGAAAGGTAAAAAAAATTAAAAAGATTAAATCGTTATTCCTTTTTGATACGAGCTAACAAAACAAACAAAAGAATGTGTAATTATCATTGTTATTTCTTATTGACTACATAGGGCGAACTTACGGCCTGGCCACGGGGATCGGCGGTGCGAACAGCGAAGCGGTGGTCGAGGCGACCATTCGCGCAGCACCGTTTGCAGGCCACGGGTACTCACGTTCGCCGCCGCGACTAGTAAGGAAGTCCGACAACGAAATGTCTATATCGAAATTATCTCGATATTGCTTACAAATTAATAGTTTTTTGGTTCAGGACCTATTATTTGGAAAAGATTGTGAAGTACACGATTTGAATAAAAATCGGAGTATACCTATAGATGGAGAATTCCACAGAAGTACGAGAAATACTTTGGGTGGCTAGACTTCCAAATAGCTGGTCTAGCTAGTATTTCAGCTAATTTTTTTTTATTGCTTAGATGGGTGGACGAGCTCACAGCCCACCTTGTGTTAAGTGGTTACTGGAGCCCATAGACATCCACAACGTAAATGCGCCACCCACCTTGAGATATAAGTTCTAAGGTATTAAGTATAGTTATAATGGGTGCCTCACCCTTCCAACCGAAACGTATTACTACTTCACGGCAGAAATAGGCAGGGTGGTAGTACCCACCCGTGTGGACTCACAAGAGGTACTACCACCAGTAATTACGCAAATTATAATTTTGAGGATTTCATTTTTATTACACGATGTTATTCCTTCACCGTGGAAATCAATCGTGAACATTTGTTGAGTACGTATTTCATTACAAAAATTGGTACCCGCCTGATATTCGAACACCGGTGCATCGCTCAACACGATTGCACCGGACGTCCGTTAGGCCACGACGACTTTAAAAATANTAAAGTATAAATTCTACAAATAAATAATACTCAACAATATTTAAAATAAAATGAGCCAAGAACGTTTATCGATAAAACCTGATAACATTGAAATCTTTTGTACAGCACTAAAGCCGCCATGTTTTGTGGCCAGATGACGTCACAGTGGCACGAAATTTTGGTTGACGTTTCATTTCCATAGGTTTCCTACTTCATTGGTCCGCGCGCCTAGGGAGCGCGCGGGGTATGTGGGACTTGACGACAGTGTTGCCAACTCGAAATTCGTCAAGGTGGGAGATAGGGTTCTAAAAGTTGGTTGTTTCAATATTATTTTCATGGAGGTTTGATTTGAACTTTTTGAAAACTTCAAAAGTTGGTAGATAAAGTGGTAGGTTTGATTACGACACTAAAAGTTCGTAGATCTACCGAAAAGTTGGTAGAGTTGGCAACGCTGCTTGACGATCTTTAGGTGTTGAGAGCAGACCGCAGGCCCACGGAATTTTAGGGCCTTACCGCACTAAGCGACTCCCCTGCATTCTTACACTCGACGTACAGAAAAATGTGTTTTGTGATTTTTTTGTATGGAGCGGGTCAAATTAAAT